AATCCAATTTCCACCCCCCCCCCTTTCAGATTCCAGGCCAAATCCAGTCCAGAGTCTGACCAAAATCCACGCCGGGCTTTCTCCCATTCCCAATTCCAGCTTAAATCCAGTCCAGACTTGCCCCCTCCACTTCCAATTCAACTCCAAGTCCACTCCAGGCTTTTCACATTCCCAGTTCCAGTGCAAATCCAGTCCAGGCTTTCTTCAACTCCCAGTCTCAGCCCAAATCCAGTCTGGGCTTTCTTTCATTCTGAATCCCACCCTAAATCCAGTCCAGGTTTTCTCTCATGTTGAATCCCACCCTAAATCCAGTCCAGGTTTTCTTTCATTTTCCAATCCCACCCCAAATCCAATCCAAGATTTCTCTTATGTTAAATCCCACTCCAGATCCAGTCCAGGCTTTCTCCCATTCCCAATCCCACCCCAAATCCAGCCCAGGCTTTTCTTCCCGTTAAACCCCATCCCAAATCTATTCCAGGCTTTTCCTCCCGTTAAACCCCACCCCAAATCCCGCAGTTTTTCCCCAAATTCCCGCTCCATCCCCTCTTCCCTCGGTACCTGCCGGGGTCGTGTCGCCGGGGGGGCCCCGCGGGCTCTGCCTGGGGGTCTCCGGGGGGGCCATCCCCGCCCCGCTCGCGGCTCCCGCTGCGGCTCCCGGGGCCTGAGGCCGGCCCGGCACCGGCCGGGGCATCTGCGGCCACCGGGATTGGGGTGAGGGCAGTCCCGGTTCCCGAGCTGCCGAGGGTTCCATCCTCGGGGTCCCTGTCCCCATTCCCGGGGATTTATCTCTCCCCATAAACGGGGGGGTCCCAGCCCCCATTCCCGGGGGTCTTTCTCCCTTCAAGCCCGATGGTTTCCCTCCCTCCATTCCCGGGGACCTCAGCCCCCATTCCCGGAGAGCTCTCTCCCCACAACCCGGGGGGTCCAAGGCCTCACTCCCGGGGCTCGCAGCCCCCCCATTCCTGGGGACCGCAGCCGTCACTCCTGGCGATCTCTCTCCCCATTCCCGGGAATTCCAGCCCCATTCCCAGAGCTCTCTCTCCTCATAACCCGGGGCTCGCAGCCACCGTATTCCTATCCCCATTCCCGGGGGTCCCAGCCCCCATTCCCGGGCATCTCTCTCCTCATAACCCGGGGGTCCCAGCCCTCACTCCCGGGGCTCGCAGCGCCCCCGTATTCTTGTCCCCATTCCCGGGGGTCCCAGCCCCCATTCCCGGGCATCTCTCTCCCCATAACCCGGGGGTCCCACCCCTCACTCCCGGGGCTCGCAGCCCCTCCCTCACCGCCCCGTTTCCGCTCCCGCCGGTCCCGGAGCTGCTGCTTTTTCCGCTTGGCGCTGAACGGGAGCTTGCGGGGCATGACGGGAGCTCACGTGACGGGGCGGGGCCGCGCTCCACCAATAGGCAGGAAGAGGCGGGGACAGAGTGAGGGGAGGAGCCAATGGGATGGCGTCCCGCCTCAGGGGCTTGGAGTGATTGACAGGTAAGCTAACCAATAGAAGCGCAGTCTAGCCGGTGGGGCGGGTTCAACCAATAGGAGAGCTCGCTACCTCAGGGCTGGGGGGGAACGAAAAGGTGATAACCAATAGAAAAAGAGGCGCGTGAGCGGTGGGTGGGGTTTGTGGCTGAGCGGACCAATGGGAAGAGGCGGCACTGACCGGAAGCAATTTGAGGCTGCGGTGGCGGCGCATGCGCAGTTCGCGGTGCCCGGCCATGCCGAAGGGAGCGCGGCCGGCGGGGGCCAAGCAGGAGGAATGGAAGGGGGGGGGGGGGGGACGGGACCCCGCGATGGGACCCCGGAATTTTGGTGGTGGCGGACCCCGGGATTGTGAGGGGAGGAGAGTGAAACCCCCGTGAGGGGACCCCGGGAGAGGGGAGCGGGTGAGACCCCCACAGAACGGGACCCCGAAATTTGGGTGGGGGGACCCTGGGATGAGACCCCAGGATTGTGAGGGGGGAAGAGTGAGACCCCCGTGAGGGGACCCCGAAATTGGGGGGGGGGACACCCTGGGATGGGACCCCAGGAGTTGTGGGGAGAGGGCGAGATCACTTTTCTGTGAGGGGGCGACCACCCCATTTCTGAGGCAAATCCCCCCAGATTTTGGGGTGAATCCCCCCCTTTGTGGGGAGTGCCCCGCTCTGACGAGCAAACCCCGAATTTTGGGGAGGAGTCCTACCCCAAACTCTGAGATTTTGGGACCCCCCCAAACCTTTTAATCCTTTCCTTGTTAGACCAACCGATCAAGAAAGGCAAAAAGGACCGGAAAGGCAAAAAATCCGTGAGTGACCTTTAACTTTTGACCCCTTCCCAAAACTCCCGAAATTCCCAAAAATTCCCCAAAATTCCCCGAATTCCCGAATTTCCCCCCAGTTTTTCGAGGAGTTGGCAGAGGAGGAGAAAGCGGCGCCGGCTGAGCCCCCCCCGCCCCCGGAGAAGGAGGGGCCGCCCCCTTCACAGGTTAATTAGCTTAATTAATTTAATTCGGGAGGGGTTAATGAGGGGAGGGGCTTAAAGGGGTGGGGCCGGAGTGGGTGGGGTTAATAGGGGAGGGGCTTAAAGGGGAGGGGTTAAGGAAAGGGGAGGGACTTAAAGGGGTGGGCGGGGCTAAGTGGCAAAGGGGCTTAAAGGGGCGGGGCTTAAATGGGTGGGGCAAAGGGGGGAGGGGCTTAAAGGGGAGGGGTTAAGGAAAGGGGAGGGACTTAAAGGGGTGGGCGGGGCTAAGTGGCAAAGGGGGCTTAAGGGGCGGGGCTTAAATGGGTGGGGCAAAGGGGGTGGGGCTTAAATGGGCGCAGGTTAAAAGGGGAGGGGCTAAAAGGGGTGGGGTCCAAAGTGGGAGGAGCCAAACCCAGCCTGGATTCTCTCATCCAGGTGCTAACAAAGGGTTAATTAGCACTAATTAAGGGTAATTAACGCCCCCAGGGGTCCCGGCGGAAGCGGGAGCGCCGGAAGGAGGCGCGGAGGCCGCGGGGGGCGGAGCCTGAGCCCGAGGAGGAGGAGCTGAGCCGGAGGCTCCAGGCCCTGGCGGCCGCTGCCGAGGAGGAGGAGGAGGAGGAGGAGGAGGAAGGTCCGGGATGGGAATTTGGGGGGTCCCAGGGTGGGCTGTGACCCCTCACTGACCCCCTCCCGCCCCCCAAAATCTGCCCACAGCTCCAGCATCCCGGAAAGGAGGGAGGAGGAGGAAGGTGAGGAGGGAAATGGGGGGGAAATGCTCCAAAAAATGGGAATTGGGGAGGAAAATCATCCAGAAAATGGGAATTGGAGAGGAAAATCATTCAGAAAATGGGGATTAGGGAGGAAAATTTTTCAAAAAATGGGAATTGGGGAGAAAAATTTTTCAAAAAATGGGAACTGCGGAGGAAAATTATTTTAAAAAAGGAAATTTGAGAAAGAAATCCTTAAAAAATGGGAATTTGAGGAGGAAAATTCTTCAAAAAATGGGAATTTGGGAGAAAAATTACCCAGAAAATGGGAATTTGGGGGGAAAATTCTTCAAAAAATGGGCATTTGAGAAGGAAATCCTTAAAAAAATGGGAATTTGGGAGGAAGATTATCCTGAAAATGGGAATTGGGGAGAGAAAAAATCTCTAAAAAATGGGAATTTGAGAGGGAAATCCTTCAAAAAATGGGAAATGGGGAGTAAAGTTACCCAGAAAATGAGAATTTGAGAGGAAATTTGTTGTAAATGGGGAACAGTTCAGTAAAAATCTCAAATTCTGGGGGGTTTTGTGGTTTGGAGATGGGATTTGGGGTGAAAATGGAATAATTTGGGGGTTTTTGGTTTTTGATTTTAGGGTGGGAATGTTTTTGCTGCGCTGAACCAGGAGCAGAGCGAGGAAGAGGAGGAGGAAGAGGAGGAGAAGGGAAAAAAAACATCCAAGGGGAAAAGTGCCAAGGTGGGGAGGAAAAACATCCCAAAATCTCTGGGAAAAATCCCCAAAAATTCCTGGGAAAAATCCTGAAATTCCTGGGAAAATATCCTGAAATTCCTGGGAAAAAATCCCAAAAAATTCCTGGGAAAAATCTCAAAAATTCCTGTGAAAAATCCTGAAATTCTTGGGAAAAACCCGAAAATTCCTGGGGAAAAATTCTTGTGAAAAAAACTGAAAATCTGTGGGGAACAAAACCCAAAATCTCTGGGAAAAAAACCCAAAATTTCTGGGGAAAAATCCCAAATCTCTGGGGGAAAAAACCCTCAAAATTCCTGGAAAAAAACCCATAAAATCTCTGGGCAAAAATCCCCCCAAAAATCCTGGAAAAAAACTGAAATTACTCGAAAAGAAGCTTCCAGAACTCCTGGAATAAAACTTAAAATCCCTGGAATAAAAAAACCCCAAAATCCCTGAAAAAAGCTCCTAAAATTCCTGAAAAAAAACCTTAAAATTCCTGGAAAAAAACTCAAAATTTTGGAAATTCTCCCCAGGAGGAAGAGGAGAGCGAGAAGAAAAAGAAAAACCGAAAGAATGAGAAACCCAAAGGGAAGAAACAGGTGAAGAATTTTGGGGCATTTTCCCCATTTTTGGCGTTTTCTCCATTTTTAAATGTCCCAAAATATCCCAAATTTTGGATTCTTTTCTCCCCCAAAACCCTCAGGGAAAATCTCCCAGCGATGATGAGGCCGAAGGCTCCGAGGAGGCCAAGGGCAAAAAGGTAAAAAAGGGGGAAAAATTTGGGATTTTTTGGGGATTTTGGGGGTTTTGAACCCCCCCCATAATTTGGAAGTTTTGGGTTTTTTTTGGCTCCAAAATTTATTTTTTTGGGGGGGGGACGAGATCACAAAATTTGGAGTTTTTTGGGGTTTTTGAGCACCCAAAATTTGAGGTTTTTTGGGCGTTTTTGAGACCCCCAAGTGTCGAATTTTTGGGTTTTGTTTTGGGAGAAATGAGACCCCAAAATTTTTTTTTTTTTTCTCTAATTCTGTGCCAGAACAAATTTGGAGCCCTGAGAAAGGAAGAGGAGGAGGAGGAAGAGGAGGAAGAGGAAGGAGCCCAGAAAGGAAGTGAGAATGTGAGTGGGGGGGGGAAATTTTTGGGATATTTTGGGGAAATTTTAGGTTGTTTTGGGATGCTTTGGGATTATTTTGGGGTTTTTTGGGGGGATATTTAAGGATATTTTTGGGATGTTTTGGGTTATTTGGGGGGAATTTTGGGATATTTTCGAATATTTGAGGTAATTTTGGGGCTATTTTAGCATATTTTGGGGTTGTTTTGGGATGTTTGGGGATTTTGGGACAGTTTTGGGTTATTTTGGGTTATTTTGGGACATTTTGGGACATTTTTGGGTAATTTTGGGATGTTTTTGGGTCCTTGCACAGGAGGAAGAGGAGGGGGCGGGGCCGAGGGCGGGGCCAGACGCCCGAGTCAGCAAAAAGGAGAAGAAGAAAATGAAGAAACAGGTGAGGGGGCGTGGCCCAGAGGGGCGTGGCACTGAAGCCGTGGGCGTGGCTTAGGTGCATCGATTGTGGGTGTGGCCTGATTGGGCGTGGCTCTCTTTGTGGGCGTGTCCCATTGTGGGGGTATCCCATATATGGGCGTGTCCCATTTGACCCCGCCCCCTTGCCCCGCCCCCGTCTATTGGGGGCGTGTCCGCCTCTGACCCCGCCCCCAGGCGGAGTTTGAGCGCCAGGTGATGTCACTGTGGGTTTGTCTATTGTGGGCGTGCCCCATATATGGGCGTGTCCCCATTGTGGGCGTGTCCTCACTGTGGGCGTGTCCCCTGTGGCCCCGCCCCCAGGCGGAGTTTGAGCGCCAGGTGACGTCACTGTGGGTGTGTCCCATATATGGGCATGTCTCTATTGTGGGCGTGTCCTCACTGTGGGCGTGTCCCTCCCTCGGCCCCGCCCCCAGGCGGAGTTTGAGCGCCAGGTGGCGTCGCTGCGCGCCGCGGCCGCCTCTGGGGACAGCGACTTCGCCGTGTCCCAGGCCGAGCTGTCCTCGCGCCAGGCCATGCTGGAGAACGCCTCCGACATCAAGGTGAGCACAAAACACACCTGGGGGGCCCCAAACGCACCTGGGAGACCTTAGAACGCACCTGGGATGCCCAAAACGCACCTGGACACGTCCAAATCCACTTTGGGAACCCCAAAATCCCCCGGAATTGCCCCAAAATCTCTCTTCAATTCCCCCCGGTGTGCGTTGGTATCACCCATTTTCCCCCTCCAGTAGAGGAATGGGAGTTTCCATTTCCCAGCGGGCTGCACCATTGGCTTGGGAAATGAGGGGGAGTCAGTACATTCCACTTAAAGGAAAATGGGGGGAACTGGGCCGTGCCATGATGCTGGAAAAGGAGGGCACTGGAATGTGCTATTGTTGGAAATGGGGGGAGTTGGGACGCTCCACTTACAAGGAAAAGAGGGGGGGGAGGAGTGAAACCCACTATTATACACCAAAAATGGGGGGGGGAGGAATGGATCAAACCATTCCACAAAAACAGGGGTTTTGGACCAACCCATTGCACAAAATCGGGGGGAGACTGGACCAAACTAATGGGGAGGAAAGGACCAAAAGTTTCCCTTAAAAGAGGGGGGGAACGGACCAAACCATTCCGTTAAAACGGGGGGGATTGGACCAAACCATTCCACAAAATCGGGGTTTCCCCGGTCCTGACGGCTCCCAGGTGAGCCCAGGTGTCCCCAGGTGTGCCCAGGTGAGCTCCAAGCCCGTTTTTAACCCTTTCCCAGCTGGAGAAGTTCAGCATTTCGGCTCATGGCAAGGAGCTCTACGTGAACGCCGACCTGTACATCGTGGCCGGGCGGCGCTACGGCCTCGTGGGGCCCAACGGGTGCGAGTTTGGGGGAGAAATCCGGGGATTTGGGGGTTAAATCCGGGAATTTTGGGGTTAAATCCGGGGA